GCCATGCATGCCCATAAATTTGGATTTTATGAGCCTTTAGATCCCCAAGAAGCCCTCTGGAAAGTTTGAGCTGAAGGCATTGTAGATCAAGAGCTTAATGCATTAACCTATCCAAGTGCATTAGCTACGGCGTAGCAAGCTTGGTGCCACGGTGTGGCAAATGAAGGCTTCGCGACTGACTTGCATGGACTCTGTCACGGCGTGGCGAGATGCTTACCATGGCATGGTAGTTGTTTATGATCGCGACTGGTTTACTTTATATGGTTTTGTAGGAGGTGTCTAGCACCTGCTTTATGACTGTGAGAGCTCATTAGCTGTAAACTCTGTTGCGAGATGAGTCTTCTCACTATACTATGTAGGATGCTAGTTGTCTTTGTGATACTTGCATGAAAGACCATAGGAGTAGTTCATGATAATTGTATGAAAGACCATGGGGGTAGCCCATGACACTTGTACGTAAGACTGAGATTTGGATCTCGGCATTGCAAGGAAAGGCCATGGGGGTAGCCCATGACACTTGGGTGTAAGACTATGGGGGTAGCCCATGACATTTCAGGGAAAGACCATGGGGTAGCCCATGACACTTGTACGTAAGACCGGGATTTGGATCTCGGCATTGCAAGGAAAGGCCATGGGGGTAGCCCACGACACTTGGGTGTAAGACCATGGGGGTAGCCCATGACATTTCAGGGAAAGACCATGTCGGTAGCCTATGGAAAATGTATATATGATATGTGGTATTTTGGGGAACTCACTAAATTTTGTGTTTACGGTTTATTTTTTAAATGTTTTCAGGTACTTTTGGTTCAAAGGGAAGGACCCGATTTGATAGCACCGCATCCCCCGATGATTATTTCCGCATTATGTATTTTGATTTACTCTGTTGTTTCAGGGGTACATTTTACTTTGATTGGTTTCGAACATATGTTTATGTGATTTCGGTGTTTTAAAAACAAAATTTTATTTGCATTTTTGAGATGTTTCATTTGCGTTTCAAAGAGCCATCACTTCGGTTGTTAGTCAAGAAAAATCAGCATACATGGAAAGGAGAAACATTCTTGAGAGTCCTTTTATAGTTAATGAAGTATGCTCTTGGGCTAAGAAATAAATAAGAAAATGATGTTGGTCAAAGTGGATTTAAATAAAGCTTTTGACTCAATATCATGAGATTTCCTTGAATCCATCTTAATGCAAATGAGATTTGGAAATAAATGGTATGGATGGGTCGAAGGAATTTTAAAAGAGTGGTAGAGCATTTGTGCTTGTTAACTGCTCTACTAAGGAATTCGCCATTTCTAAAGGAGTGAGACAAGGTGATTATCTATCGTCGTCTTTCCTCTTTATTCTTGCAAGGGAATGTTTGCATTAGAAGGCGGCTATGGAGAACATCTCTTTTAGGGCATCAAATTACCAAATAACGGGTGTATTTTATGTCACCTCACGTACGAAGATGACATTATATTCATTAGTGATTGGTATGTTTCGAACATCCACAATTTGAAGAGAATTCTTAGATGTTTCCATCTTGCCTCCGATCTAAAGATAAATTTCACAAAAACAAACTTTTGGGTTTTTGAGTCTCGAACTCGGCACTTGCATCGATGGCCAATCTATGTGATTGTGATTTTGGCACACTTACATTTACATACCTCGGTGTCCCTATCATGGCCAATATGAAGTTCACTCGCCTGCAGTGATTCCAGGGCATGAGGCAAAACCTCATGTTTGCAGCGGGGGATTAGTCGGTACGCGAAAGCTGGCCCGGAAACCCTCGTTAGGGAAGTTCCCTTTCCAAAAAAAAAATCATGGCCGATATGAAGCTTTGTGAAAATTGGAACCCCATTGTGGAACAATTAAAAGCTAAATTGAGCACATTGAAATCCAAAATTCTCTCGTTGGTCATGGAATGACTCTAGTCAAATCAGTACTTGGCAGCATTAGTCGGATGTTTGGAAAGTATTAGGCCGAATGTTTTGTGGGCGAGGAGATGGGTAAAAAAGGAAGATAAATTGGGCTGCATGAAAAAAAAAAAAAAAAAAAAAAAAAAAAAAAAAAAAAAAAAAAAAAAAAAAAAACCTATTGTTCCAGAATCCATGGTGCTGGTATAGGCTGATTAAGGAATTTGAATCTCGCCCTTCTAGCTAAATGGTTGTGGTCGCAAGTCATTCATTCAATAGGTAAGTTGAATTGTTTTTTTTTTTTAAAGAACTTTAGTACTTCCAAGGAAAAATTAGTATATGGACTATTCTACCCTTCATTCAATTTTGATTTGAATATATATGATAATAAAGAGAGAAAGGATCAGTAAGTTGAATTGTTTGATGTCAATGAAATCCAATCAAGGACCATGGTACACGGATCTAATATATTGGAAGATTTTTATTGAATTTCGCAATTTTGCCTTCATTGTGTCGTGTTTACTATCGGCTTGGTGGGTGTTAATTGTTAATTGATTTGAATATATATGATAATTTTGCCTTCCCCTCTAAAAAAAAATAAAAAACAAAAAACAAAGTTACAATTTCAAGTACAAATAATCAGAGATAATACAGTTGAGTTCTAAAACACACATACCATTCATTTTTCACACAATTTACCAAATTACAACCTTACCCTTTTCAGTTAGACCATACATGAACTAACCCAAGTCTATTTCCTGTATAAATCTCATTCCTTTCTTCATCATAGAAAAGGGCAGTAATGTCCTCAAGAGCTTCTGCAACAGAACTCATAATCCTTGAAGCCCTAATTCTCTTCCTTGAAGTACATTTACAACTTCTGCCACTACCTCCATTAGAAATTACATTATTGCCACTGCAACTACACTCATCCAAAGGAACACCATTCTTTGCCTTCACCTTCGCAAGACATTTCCCCGTCAAGATGTTGCTGATATTTATCGAACCTGCTGCATTACCAGACCAGAATCGTCAGTAATTAAATTACTATTTTGCCCTTGTTCATAAAGTATTATCAGTTTAATCACTACAAACAAAAAAAAAATGTTTAATTGGCTAAGTGGTTGTTTAATGATGAATGTCTGGATAAAGTGTTGTCTACAGTCTGTTTCTTTTCTTGACCGAATCAAACGTCTGAATGTGACTAAATGACCATTTTACCCTTACATTTCAACAACTTTTCACAATGTTCCATCAATTTTAAAGTGAGAAGAGTTTTGGAGGAAAAAGAAAAAGGGCAATTAGGTGGCTTAGCCCATTAAGTCATTCTGTCCAGATTAAGTCAAAAGGAAACAAACAACTATAGCTGTCCAGATTAAGTAGAAATGAAGGGTTTTTTTTGTAATTTACCATTTCCTTCTGTTAAAGGATCATCAGACTCGGTTTTGCAGTATGAAATGATAAGATCTTGATCACTTGTGATGTATATGTTGTTAGTGTTGCAATCTGGATGCCATAATAAATGATCTTCAAATGATGTCACAAGTTCCCCACGAAAATTCCATACAGCAACTGTTCGGTTTCTAAAAGTTAAAAATAATTGATTTTCATATAGAAATATGAAAGCTGATGGAGTCATAAATTCTGTCCTGCTAACTTCCGTTAAATCAGAATTGCGTACCTAAAAGAAAAAAGAAAATAGATTTTTAGACTTTCAGTGTACTTTTAACATAAATGCAAGAAATTGCAATGAAAAGTTCTTACATCAAGAATCTGTAGATTCTCGTTTTCTTGCTTCACAAGAAGCTTCTCATTGAACTGTTCAATGAAATCCACCTTCTTGTTTCGGTGAAGAAGATGATTGAAACATTTTAAAACAGTTCCATCTTCAATTGAGAGAATCTTGAGTGGGACATGACCACTGGCTTTATTATATATCAACAACATAATTCCAGGACTGGTTTTTTAAAAAATGGAAAAAAGAAATATCATTAACACATAGACATAAATTTTATAATTCGGTAAATATGCGAATAAGAATAACCTTACCTTATTTTGATTTCTTGTACATTTTTATCGGAAATGGAGTATAACATCGTGTAGTTTTTCAAATCAAACACCTTGTAAATGCTGGAAAAAGAAATTAATATAAATCAGATTATGCAAGAACACGTGGATCAAAATGTCCAAAACTTACCTATCTTGTGCTGAAAATGTCAACACCTTTCCATTGACATCATCAAATTCCACAAAACCAGGCCATTTCAAAGATTCAGATTCAAAAAGACCAAAACCAGCATCAGGTTGACCTCGTCGTATATATCTGCCACCAATTTTATAATTTTTTATATAAATAATAGTAAAATTTATACATACTAAAAAGTACAAAGCAAAAGAACAGTGAGATTTCACATACTCGATTCTTGTTGTTCTGCATTTCAAGGAGCTAAAGCTGTCTGAAGCATAGACTGATACTGTAATGAGTGAGTCATTGTTCTTATTGTAAAACAAGCTTCTTATAACTTCATCAGGGCTGACGTTTAGAAAGCATATTCTCTGGTTGTTCTCTGAATCAAATAAATAATAATAATGTTGTATTAGTCTTCACTCTTCAAGATTGAGTATTATATAACTACCAAATTATATTTATACCTCGACTGAATGCAGCACAGACTCCAGATTGTGCAAGAGCAAAGACTATATCACGAGCAGCAACAATCTCAATGATTTTTGAGCGCTTTTTCAGAAATGGTAATACCATAGAGCAGTGTCCCTTTGGATCATGAGTATCATACTCCTCCTAGAAACGATATGATAATTGATATGATACCAAAAGAAAACCTAACTTTAAGTCGTATACAACGAACTAACTAAACCAAGAAGCAGATAACTTAAGAATGAAAGTGCGAAATAGAAAACGAATATGAATTAAGAACCTGCAATCGAATGTTTCTGAACCTCTCTTGAGCATCGCACATCCGAAAAGCACGATCCCGCTTCGAGCAAATCTCTCTTCTCTGAAGCTTCTTAACGCTATTCACAAACCCATCAACACCACCACGGGGACGTTTCTTAGCAACCACCCGCCGACCATTACACGGCCTTGGACTCGCCGTGATTCTCCTTCCGTCCATCACTCTAAACTCTAAAGCGACACCCTTTCTTTCACCTCTACCGTACAACCACGCAAATTAAAACCCAAATTACTTGTGTATATGTATTTGACGGTCTGTATTAGGGAACACCGACAATCAAGATATAATTACAATCAAAATCCAAGATTTTGAAATACAAAAATAAACCCTAAATCCCAGGACCCCGAGTAGAAATTATCAGGGATTTTGAATTGCTCGTGGTCCTGAGCAATTAAATTGCCCACGATAACACCAAACAGAAAGTAAAATTATAATTGAAAAACTGATTATGTGTATATAGCCAAATCTTCTGTTTCTCCCTCCAGAGATATGAAAAGGGGAAGAATCGAAGCAGATTGGAAATGGTGGTGGGATTTGAACTCAACGACAATATATTTAAAATTATAGAACTTCATCGGATTCTATAAAGTATGGCATCCGAATTGAATTCCATATCGAAATTTTGAAATGGGGATTTTCGACAACACCTCTGCCATTTCAATTTCAAATGCTTACAAAAGCGATCATAAAATTTTGTAAAACAAAACCGAAGAATTTAGACATATAAATGAGTTAACATTATAAACTACTTTATATTTTTACTTTTAATTGTTTAAACCTAAAAAAAAAAAATTTTAATCAGAAAACCTTTAGACCGATTTTTCCCTTTTTGCTTATTTATTCTATGTGTAGGATGTTTTTGTTGGTTTTCGAAATTAAAACTAGAAGGTAACGATATATTATTTAGGAGTATTCGTTTACATTGATCGGTTCGATCCGATCCAATCAAGTGAATTCAAATTTATTTTGATTTTTAAAACATACAACCAAATAGTCCAAATTAAATTCAAGTCCGATTCAACCCAACCCAATTACAATTCAGCTGGATCAGTTTTTATAATTCAGTTATCAACAATTGAAACATTTTAAAATCCCGTACAATTAGAATATTAGTCACATTTATAGAATAAACAAAAACAAACTATTTAACAGTGGTTTAAAATTTATAAACAACTCTTAAAAAATATATATTATGATTTAATATTTTATAGATTAAAAACTTCTAAGAGAAATTACATTGTAAAATTTTTTATTAGGTGAAACTTTTTGAATCTATTTGAAAAAATAAATTAATAAATAACTATAAATATATATATAAAAAATAAATTAATAGTAAATTGTTATTCGGTTTTTTTGGACTATTCAGTTCTTCTTATAAACAAAAACTAATCCGAAATCCAAACTAATAATTCGGTTTTGTTGAAAATCAATCCAAAAATCCGAATATCTAAATCAAATAGTCCAATAAAAATTGTCCAATTGGACAATTCAGTTTTATCCAAATAGTGAACATGTAACGTCTAATTTTCACGACCAATTTTTTTTATTTAAAGTAAAACTTCCTAATTATAAAACCATTTTAAGAAAACCATCTGTTCTCAATTACAATTATTATAAACCAGAGTATTATAATGAACACAAAATCATCAATGTTGTTGTTGAGTGTGTACAGTCCCACCTTCGCCTTCCCATAGCCATCAATGATACCTGAAACAATGAACAACTGGGTAAGCATAAAGTTTAGTGAGTTTCCCCCAAAATACCCCATACGATAAACATACAAGCATGTATCGGGTCGACTCAGCCATCGAGATGGAATACCCAGGGTTTGTTGGCCTACCGCCTCAACCCACCCATTCTTCCCGAGCCTCCGTGCCTACGGCTTACAGCCGGCCCGAACCGGGTATCTTGGTCTACAACACAAAACAGGACTGCCTCAACCCAATACTACCATATGTCGACATATAAAAAATCAAGATCAAGTTGGAGAGAATTGATCCTTGTGTGTGTTTTGGTATGTGTTAGGTGTATCTGGAAGAAGAAGAATATGCATGGTGAATGAGCATTGATCAAGTTGGAGCTTGTAGATCCAGGGCTTATTCATCTTTCTCAGCTTCCTAAAGGTATAAACTCTTGACCTTGGTTATTTTATGTTTAGATATAGGACTAGTTGAGATTTGAGCATATTTTGGTCCCATGAATGAGTTCTTGTGAGTAAATGCTACTCCAGAAATTTTGAGTTGTTCCTTTTGATGTTTATGAGGTTCCTAGTTCATAAAGTTTGCATCTTGATGGTTGTAGATCAATCATGCATGAGTCAATGATCATTTGATGGAAGTAGGAAGTTAAATCTAAGGTTTGAGTCTCTTCTTAATGATGTTTTGTCAAGCTGGAGCGTACGTCGGGCATACATAAGTGTACGTTGAGCGTACGCGGCTGAAGCCCTGTTTTCCCTTGGTATCACAAGTTGTATGATGGGTGTACTTAGGTGGTATGCTTAGCCTACTCACCAAGAACCATTATTGGGCCTTAGGTTTTGGGCGATTATTGGGCCATAGATTTTGGGCCATTCTTGGGTCATAAGTATTAGGCCTTAGGTTTTGGGCTATTGTTGGGCCTTAGGACTTTTCCATTTGGGCCATAGTCTGAGGATCCCATTAAAGGAAAGGGTAAAATGGTCTTTTACCCCTTGGCATGTTAGATGGTAATCTAGACCATTTGTGGGTTATTACCCTAAGTATTAATTAGGGTTAATTTGGAATGTTCAGTGTGAGGAGCCATAGTAGCAGTAGTCTCGGAGTGTGGTTTGTCTATCTTCAAACTAAGGTGAGTTCTTTCATTGTACTCGTGGGTCGCAGGTAACAATGTCGGCCCACTAGTTTATGTGTGTAGGATGATAGTTGTCTTTGTGACACTTACTGTTATGTATGTATGTGCTTGTTGTCTTTGTGACTCTTACTTATATGATTGTATGCTTAGTTGTAGGGGTGAAATGGACCCAGTACTGGTTGAAAGAGACCCAAGGGGTGAAATAGACCCATTAACGGTTGAAAGGGACCGAAGGGGGTGAAATAAACCCATATATGTTTTGACTGTTATGTATGTATGGTATGGGGTATTTTTGGGGAAACTCACTAATCTTTGTGCTTACATTTTTATATTTATGATTTCAGATACTTCCAGCTCGAAAGGGAAGGGCCCGACATGATCGCACCGCATCCACCCATGATTGTACTGCATCCACCCATACTGTACATGACGTCATCCACCCCTAAACCGGAACGGCAGAAACGTTCGGGGGTGGATGACGTCATGTACAGTATCACAACAATTGAATAATAGTAATCAAAGCAACAACAACCATTGTATTAATATTAAAGTGTTTACATTATATTCGAATCATAATTTGATAACATCAAAAGTATATAGCAAAAACAAAGACTTGAAGCTACTATGCTTCGTCTTCACAACGCCTGTGAGGGTACATGTCTGTTAATTTCCTGAGAATACAAGTGGTTTGAAAATGTGTCAACATTAAATTTGGTGAGTTCATAAGCATTTTGTTATAAAAAGTATATTCTTTGTTCTTTGAAAATGTTCGTGTGTTCCTCCAGAAAATCCTATATTTTCTTAATAAGAAATGTGACCATACTAGTTCCTTCTATGATCACTTAGTTTATACTAGCTATATATAAACTAATATCGAACAGACAGTTGAATGTGTGGATCTGCCCTAAGCCCACAACCAAACAAGGAACAGGAAGTAAGGCGGAAATCACACATTCCACTACCTATCAGATATTATTTATATATAACCCTGATGTATAAGCTAAGGAACCATAGAATTAACAATTAAGGGTCTTTTATGTTATACTAGTTTGTAAATAAGTGTTGAACCTTTTGTAAATATGTTCCTAGTTCCACATGTTCTACTGTAAAGTATTGTTTTGTAAAATAAGGATGTTTATCCTGGAAAATCCTATATTTTCCATAAAACCGAATTGTAGTCTTAAGCGTTCCAAGACCGAAAGTACAAGTATAATTGTCATACTTAATTTAATGATACGTAGTTTTATACATAAGTAAAACTAGTTGAAGACGTGTTTGCACTGTAAACTAGATGTGATGTTAATACCCTCCTATGATCACTTAGTATATACGAGTTATATAAAATCGAGATCGAACAGACAGTCGAATGGGTGATCCTGCCCTAAGCCCACAACCAAACAAGGAACAGGAAGTAAGGCGGAAATCACACATTCCACTGCCTATCGGATATTAATTGTATATAACTCTTATGTATATGCTAAGTAATCACAGAGTTAATACCCTTAAGACTGTTTAAAAAGTATATTACTATGTAAATGTGTCGTTGTTTTCTCAATGTGAGTTCTTATAACCATACTGTAACCTAAGATGGCCTGATCGCGACGTTCTTTAGGCGTCGGAATGTTAGCGACATTTGTCACCCCAGGCCTGCCGGCCTAACTGTAGCTAACAGTTAAGGTGTGGGATTGTCAGTCCCGTATAGATCTATACACAAATATCTCGCTCTCCCTACAAGAGACTCTGGTTATAAGTCAGGACTTGGTTGGTATTTAGGTAAGTACGCGAAGACGTCTCACAAATTGCTTCAACTAGTTTACTAGTAATAAAGTGAGAAACCTTTTAGTAAATAACATGTAACTTCATAAAATAGTACCTATGTTCTATAAACTATACCTATTATAGTTTATAAGTTTGTTTCCGTATTGTAACCTGAACTTTGTAAAATAGTACGTTTGTTCCATAGACGATACCTATTATAGTTTATAAGTTTGTTTTCGTTGATGTGAAAACCGTTGCGTCTTAACATGTTTTGTAATTGTTTATAAATTTAATATTAACGATGTTTTGCGTGTTTAATAAATTTCATGTTTAAATGCATATTAATGGTAAGAAAATATAATAAGAAATTTATATTTTTAAACACAAGATTTCTTGTGTTTTACTTGTATCCCCCCCCCCCCCTAAAACAATGTAAAAATCGTGAAAACGTAGGGGTATGAACTCACCTCGAATGCGTGTTTTTGGTTAGGTACGATGTGGTTGCGATGATCCCCGGGTTAGAACACGTATAATTTTCGGAATCCTAATAATATTTAAACACATAATATTGTGTTCAAATTAGTAAAATGATTAACTTAAGTGTTAATTAATACTAGTTATGTATGAACACTTACAAGAATCCTTAGAATAACTGAAGTTGTTCTTTATGTTCTTGGGTGGATTTATGAAGATTGACTGATAATCTGGGAAAGGGTATGAAGGTTTGAAGGTTCTTGGATGAGTTTTGAGAGCAATTGTACGTAACTTAAGAGTGAAGAATTGGAAATGGTGAGGGTGTTTTCGGTTGACATATATATATATATATATATATATATATATATATATATATATATATATAAGCTTGAGTGGGTCAGGTTGGGAACCCTGGTGAGTACATAGGGTTTTCAACCCACAATAATATAATTATTATGTTCAACATCAAACAATCAACCCAATTACCCATCCCTATTATCTTCTTTACTCTTAAGGATCTTCCCTAAAATTCAGCTATTCCTCGTTCATTCATTCCTAAGGAGTATCCTAAGGAATCGGCACTAAGTTTGCATAGTCGCCAGGGTTTATCTCGTTTATTGACAGTATCGTTTTCGA